GGAGGAGCAGCAGCACTGGGGCCAGCACCCCACCCCAGGGTCACAGGGGGTCAGCAGGGCCAGCCTTGGGCTTCCACACCCCCAGCTCGGCTCTGCTCGGAGCCCACTTGGAGCTGTTGGCAAGAGAAGGAGCTGGGTGGGATCCAGCCCTGGCAGCACAGCCCTGCCACATCCCCGAAGCTCTGAGCCCCTCACCCCTGCAGCCCCAGCTCCTGCCGTCCCTCACACCTGCCTCTCACAGGGAGCTTTTGGGGGTGCACACGAGAACCCTCTTTGCCCGTGCTGACTCATCTCTCAGCTGGCTCAGGTATACCAGAACAGCACGTGGCATTCCCAGCACTGGAAGGGATAGCCCAGGCACTGGAATGGATATCCCAGCACTGGAAGGGATATCCCAGCACTGGAAGGGATATCCCAGCACTGGAAGGGATAGCCCAGCACTGGAAGGGATATCCCAGCACTGGAAGGGATAGCCCAGCACTGGAATGGATATCCCAGCACTGAAAGGGATATCCAGCCCATGCAGTGTCTGTGCTGCAGTTGTCCAGGGGGCTCAGGAGCAGCCTCAGGATGAGGCAGGAGCACCGACCCTGCCAACCTTTTCCACCCCCTGACCTTTCCCCAGCCCCTCTCGGAAATGCCACGGAGCTCCTCGCCCGGCCAGACGAAATGTCAGGAAGGTGGATGGAATATTTCCAGCCGCTGAGCCGGGCGCTGCGGGCGGTTTTCCCCAGCGCTGTGAGTAGCTCCAGAGGGAGCAGGGGCCGTGCTCCAGCCTGTCCCCATCCTTGTCCCCATCCCTGTCCCCATCCTCGTCCCTGTGCCACCCCAGCGCGGGGCCCAGCCGCGCTCGGCTGGCTGCGAGCGTTTAAGCAGAATTGAGTGTGTGTTCAGGCACTTTCAAACACAAGTAATCTTCATCTGGGAGACGGGAAGTGAAATATGTTATTGCCGAGCACAGTAAATTACCCGTGCCAGCCCCGGCGGATAAAACATCGCCGTCGCCGGCCGGCGCAGTCACTCACCCGCGCCGGGCCGCCACCACCCCATCAATTACAAAACAAACGGCTGCTGGTCAGCCCGGACACTGCACTGGGACTTGTGCGGCCACTGTGGCGCTGGGACCTGCCTCAGGACTTGTGTGGCCACCGCGGCACCGAGCTGCCCCAGGACCAGGCAGGCACCCGGTGTTGGTGGATGGATTCCTCCTGGAAAGCACCAGAAGGGCAGCGGGAGCTGGGGATGGACTGGCTCTTCCAGCAGCTCCTCCAAGCAGCTTGTGCCGGCTGGTTCAGCCCCCGCTCCCCGGAGTGGCCCCAGCGAGGTGTCCTTGTCATCGTGGTGATGCTGCTTCGTCAGGGCTAACGAGCTGCTGAGCTGCCGCGGCGGCGGAAACACCCGGGGAAGGCGGGAGGCGAGAGCGCAGCTCCCTCTCCTTTATTTTCCTGGGAAAGACCTTCAGAAAGCCAATCCCTAGCCCATAAAAGAAATAAAATAAATTCCTGCAACTTTAACAATCATTGTGTTGGATTTGGGAGATGTTATTCCTCGTGACAGACAAGGGCAATTATCTGCTATCCGCCAGCAGTTTTAGCCTAATTTCATTACTGCTGTGCAATTCTTCCCGAGCCGCCAGTCTATCACTGTCTCCCAGAAAGGATTAGCCGGCACTTTCTTCATCTTCAAATGAATTTTAGCTGTCATGCCCTTGATGAATAGAAGAGGGAGGATGGTGAACCCACGCCGGTGAGCAGCAGCCTGGCTGTGCCACGGCGCCAGCACCGGGACCGTGCCAGAGCATCACCAGAGCTGCCTGGATGTGCCCTGGGATTTCCTGCCATGCAGGATGAATCAGCCATGGGGTTTTCTTGGAGAGCACCCTGGAAATGGGCAGGGCTGGAAGCTGGTGACCAGCATCCAGGAGGGATTAAAATGACAGGATCTGTAATACAAGGAAATAATGAACATGCCGTCCTTCCCCCTCGCCAGGAGATGCTTATCTGTCAGCCCGGGCCACTGAGGGATAGAGAAAAGCAATTTCAACTTCAGAGCTGAAACTGCAGAGGATGTTGCAGGGAGAATGTCCAGGAGATGGTGTCCCAGGAGGATCCACCACATTTCTGAGCTGGGAGAATTGAGGGTTCATTTTCCTGGCCGAGATAGAATAAGGCACACGGATCCCAGCTCAGTGTATGCTGGGATGCCTTGTCCCCATAGCCTCAAGCTGTGCCAGGGGAGGGCCAGGAGGACGCCAGGAAAAATTTCCTCATGGAAAAGGTGGTCAGGCCTTAGCAGGGGCTGCCCAGGGAGGTTTGGAGTCCTCATCCCTGGGGAAGTGTCCAAAGAAAGCCTGGATGTGACACTCAGTGCTCCGGGCGGTGACAAAGTGGGGATCGGGCACAGCTTGGACTCGATGCTCTTGGAGATCTTTCCCAAACTGAATGATCCAGGGATTGTGTGAAATACCTGAGCTTACCAGCAAGGAGGGCCCAGCTGGACACCCAGAGGGGTGCAGAGCCCATCCTGGGTCCCCCCAGGACGTGGGACGTCACCTCGCGTAAACGGAAGCTGCGGAGCCGGGGGCTGGCACCGGCCCAGGGCTCCGTTATTTTTGTAAACGTTCATTCCCACCCGGCACAGCATCCTGGCAGAATATTTTAGCACCTTTAATGCAATTTCCTTCTCCCTCTGAAATATCATTTTAATAGAACCCAGCCACACCGTGTACCTGCTCCCTAATAAACCTCTGCGACTTTAATGAACTAAATAGCAAATTACTTTTTTATTCAAGAATGAAATTTCATCATATTCATAATTCATATTTTATTTCAGACATCTGCTGCTGATTACATTACATTTAACTAAAATTAGATGATGCTCAGAATGTAATTAAGCCCCTGCCAAATTCTCTGGCCCACCAATACCAGCCTCGCTCAGCGGGGGCCGCTTGGAACCTAATATGTAATTAGGAGCTATTTTCTAGCTGTTTTTAAAGTCTGAAAATTAGCTGCCTTTATTAATCACACAGACAAATATAAAGCAGAGCCAACGCTTGCTGAAATTTCTAAAAAGGATTTTTTTTTAATTATACACCACATAGCGCTGAGACTCATTTTGAATGTTGATTTGTTGTGCACTGACATTTTGACAACTAGTTCTCAATTTGTCTGTCGTAGTTAGGCAACAACAAAGCAGACGGTAATACTTAACTTTCAAAACCTTCAGCGTGCTGGGAGGGGAGAGGGATGGGGGGGAACAGGGGGGACGGGCTCCCCACGAGCTCTGGGAATGGGGGAGCCCCAAAATCCCTTGGGATGAGAAGCAGAGGGGACAAGGGAGGTGCCAGATGCACAAATGGCCCTTAAATGGCTCTGGGGGGGTCCCTACTCGCCCCAGGGGACCTCCCAAACCCTCCAAGTGTGTCTGAGGACACGGCACTGGCCCTGCAGGCCGTGCAGGGGGTCCCAGTGCCACCTCCTGTCCCCAGGAGGGACCCCTGGAGCAGCGGGAGCCCCGGGGGTGTGAGCAGCCCCCCAGCCCCGCCTGACTGCGCGCTGACATTTCCTCCCTCTCTCCCTGACCCTGTTCCTGCTCTCTCCGTGATCTCCAATAATGTCACTGCCTCCTCAGCATCTACTCAGCGGAGCAGAAAGAAGGCACTGCTGACACCGAGTGCAAACAAACAATAATACCATCTGTGCCTGCCAGGGCCGGCCGGGGAGCGCCGGGTCCGGCTCAGGGGAGGGCGTGCAGGGGGGGCAGGAGCCCCTCGGGGCACTGGGACATTCCCCAGGGATAGGGGGAGACACCCCGGCAGAGATGCTGCCCCAGGAACGGGCTGTGAAGGACAAGGACGACTTTAAAAGGTATTTTTATTCAAAGTGTTTTCTTTTTGTTGTCACTAAACACCGGTGACCCCCAGTTTTCACCTCTGCAATTCCTCAATCCCTCCTTTAGGCTGGAGCACAGTCTCCACTCCCCGTCCCTGTGCTGGCTATTAGAGGGAAAGCCAGGCTCGTTAGTCTTGCTGCAGAGCTCGTAACGTGAAAAATGAAGCTCAAGAAAAATTAGCCAAATTACCAGGCTAATCCTTCAGCAGCAATCGCTGCCCTGCTGCACATCCGTCCCGCGGGGTGCCTGCGAGAGGAGGGGCTGATCCGTGGGGAGAACACGCTCCACAGGCTTCAGTTTTGCTTCCAAGGCAGCAAAACACACAAGAGACAGAGCTGTGCCTCCTTCTGCCCCTCTCTGTGTCCCCGTGGGGCACCAGTCCCACGGCAGCAGCTGCTCCTGCCCCGGGCTGAGGAGGGGCAGGGATGGTTTTGTGTGTGCCAGGGCTCAGGAGTGGCAGCAGGAGGTTGGACTCTGAGTGCAGGAGTGATTCCCGTGTGGAAGGTGGGGTCAGGGACATCCCAGCCACCCCTCGGGCTGTCCCTCTGGGTGTAGCAATGCCCCTGCAGAGCGTTTGATGGAGCTGGTGAAGGAGGAGTTTGGAAAGGATGGAATGGGCACTCCCGTGCTCACAGATGGATGTGAAATCTGTGCTCACTCCAGACTGGGACTGGCTCCAGCTGCTGACTTCGGCAGATCTGGTCCCTGTGGCACAGGGAAGGCAGATCCCAGCAGTGCCTGTGTCACCCTGGACCCTTCCCACAGACCCCAGCGTGGGTCACCCTGCTGCCACGACACTGCCACCACCCTCCCTGCCCCGGAATGTCACCGCTTCCACTCTGCCACAGAGCAGAGCGGGATGAGGACTCAGGCTGGACATCAGGAGAAATTTGCTCATGGAAAGGGTGGTCCCTTTTGGGGAGGTTTGGAGTCCCCATCCCTGGAGGCATCCAAGGAATGCCTGGATGTGACACTCAGTGCTCTGGGCTGGGTGGGAAAGCGGGGATTGGTCACAGGCTGGACTTGGAAAGCTTTCCCATGCTGAATGATCCTGGGATTCTGTGAATTTCTCCTCAGTTCTACTCCCCAGCCCTCAGAGCCAACAAGGCTCAGCCCCAGACATGCTGCTTTGAAGGGAAGCTCCCCGTGCTGGATCTGGCATCTCTTTGTGCCAACATCACAAAGTCGACACATGTAAGTGGTTAAAGTCAACACGCTCCCAGATCCTCACATTGATTACACTGTATTAGAAAATGGTAAATTATTTATCAGCCTTTCTGACTTGTGATTAGTGTAAAGCAGCTCTCAGATGCAAATTGGAATTGTAATTAGACATGTAGAAAGGCAGCATCTGAGACCTGCTTTCCTGAAGCAGTGTAAGGTGCTTTTTTCCTTTTGTATCCAGCATAATTATCAAAGAACACTTTGCACTAAAAAAAACCCATGGATTTATTAAAACCAGAGACAGTTTTACATGGGATCAGGGAACTAAAGCTGGTCACCATGACGCTGGGAGTTTAGAGCTAGAACATCTCAGCTTCTCACAATTAGTTTTTTTTAACCCTGGGTTGGAAGTGGAAGGCAAATTCCCCACCTCTGCCAATTCATTACTCAGCTTTGAGTGAAGCGATTCTTGAACACAGCTACACTTAAAAACCCACTTAAAAAACCCACCCCAGACAAGGAGAGTGATGATAAAACCCCCTTGGCAGGTACAGCAGAGACCACAGTCCCTCAGAGTCAGCTCATGACTCCCAGAGATTCTGGCCTCAGCCACTTCCCTTTCATTCTGTGGCACAGCTCATTAAAATTTCAGGAGTAAAAATGCATTTACATTTGTGTAATAAGTCTAAATGCATTTAGGTTTTAGAGTTTGTCAACTGCAACTTATGGTGAGCTTTTGAGGACGTGGTTTGGGTTTCTTTCCCCTACTTAATTACACCAAAGTAAACCCAACACCAGGCAGGGTCAGGGACATGCTGGTTGAAGAGTGAAGTGTGAGAGAAGAGCTTTTACAAGGAGGAATTTTAAGCCTGCCCTTGGCCTGGAGCTGCCCTCCTTGCAGGTGCTGCTTGAGCCAGACCTTGCACATGTGAATAAAAACCAGAGCCTGACTACAGGACTCTGCTTATCAGCCCAGGCAGAGATTATGGAAAAGAGTGAAAATCAGTAATTTCACTAGAATTGTGCTTTATCTTGCATTTTAATTACCCAACACTTAATTAATAGCAGAGAAGAGCTGTATTAAAGGTTTCTTCTTCACTAGGAATGCAGTCCAGAAGAAACAGAGACCGGAGCATCAAGCCCTGAGCTGCCAAAGATGCTCTTCACCCAAAAACGTCAAAGCACCATGCACATCCACCTTGCCAGCTCCCACAGGACAGCAGGGATGAGGGAAGAGACACCACATGCATCTGAAGCAGCAAAGTGTCATTATTCACCCTGGAATCCAGCCAAGCCCCTCTTCTCCTGCCCCTTGGGATCAACACAGCAGTTGAGGAAGGAAATTCAAACCAGGATTTTTGAGAGCTTTGGTCAGACACCACTGGGTGGGTGCTCCCAGGTCCCCATTGCAGCCCCAAATCCCAGTGACACCAGGCCCCAAACTGGCTCCATACCCACATCTGGAGGCCCTCAGCCACACAGGAGAGGGGAAGGAAGTTTCCAGGCATCTGGGCACGCAGAGCTCTGAGGAGGTGGTGCCAAGAGGCAGCAGCTCAGCTCTGGGCGAGCGCGTGCAGCACTTGGGCACTCAGGGAGGAGCAGGAGTGCAGGGTCACCCCGGGGGCCCCAATCTTGGTCTCCCAGCATTCAAATCCACAGGCACACAAGTCTTGCTTGGCTGCTTCCACGGCCAGAGGGGAGGTGTCTGCCAAGAGCAAGGCAAGAGCAGCCAGCCAGTCAGCTCGGCCACTGCAGGGAGAGGGAAAGGGCCATGGCTCCTGCAAACACAGCCCCTGGCACAGGGCCAGTGCCCTCAGGGGCTGACACACATAAATGAACACTCTGAATCGGCCCTGGATCACACACTGCAACCCACAGTGCCAGGCAGTGCTGGGACACATCCCACCCATCCCTCCAGAGCCAGACCAGGGCTGGCAGTGATTCCTCTGCTCCCAGACCTGCCCCACCTCCCAGAGCTGTGAGGAAGAGGAAGATGCCCAAGGGGCTGTACTGACCTGGTGGCAGCAGGGTGATGCCACAGCCACCCCCACCAGCCCCTGTCAGTTTGCTGTGCAGGCTGTGGGATGCTGTCACCTGGCACAGCCTGTCCAGGGAGGGGTGGCCCACTCCGAGCACATTTAAGTGGTGCTGGTTTATGTCAAAGAATTCCTAAAAGCAACACAAAGAGAGGAGATGAGCACACACAGAGGCAGAGGCTCTTTACAGCAGTGGCAGCCCTGCCTTCCCAGCCATCCCTTCACAACCACCTCATTTCTGCAGAAATTTGGCCACCAGCTCCAAGGAGCAAGGTCAGGCCAGAGTCTGAGCTCTGAGCTGCTCGTGTATCCCTGTCCCCCATCACAACTTGCACAGTGACAGGGGTACAACACTCCTGCACGTTCCAGGAAAATCCTGATCACTGCAAGCTGCCAGCAGGAATTTTTTCCAGAGCTCTCCAATGCCTCCTGACTGCTTCTCCTCTGCCCTGTCACTGAGTGCTGAGCAGGAGGCTGTGCAAGGCCCCTCGCTGGCCGTGGGAAGGGCACTGAGCCAGCAGCTCTCATTCCTGGCTGTCACCCTGCCCTGCTCTGCCATCCATCCAGCAAGGCCAAATCCAGGGACTTCTGACACGGCTGAGGCATCGCTGGAGAGGTGACACAGAGGGACGTCCCTTTGTTTGCTCTGTGCTGCACTTCTCCCTCCTCACGGGCAGGGCCCGGGCCGGGAGCCAAAGAGCAGCACCATGCTGGGAATCTGGCACCCAGCTCAAGTGAGGTCAAGAGGGTCCTTCCCTCTGGGAGCAGCACAGGCCCCTCTCTGAGTGAGCCCACCCTCCTGGCAGAGCTGTGGGAGCATCCCTGCCACACTTCCCAGCCAGCCAGACCTGCTACTCCTGGAGAAAGCTGCCCCAGCAGCAAGGTCCAAACAGCCCGGGGACGGACAACACCACACAGAAATGGAAGTTACAGCTTCTCCCCTCCCAGCAGGACAGGTGAGGAATTCAGGAGCAGAGGGAAGGGCCTGGCCTGTGCTTGGAGTAAGTCTGGAGCAGGGCCAGGAGCAGACACCAGCTCCCTGAGCACCACAGGGCCCGCCCAGCCCTGTGCTCCCTACCCCAGCAAGCAGCACTGAGCTGTTCCCTGCTTGCAGCTCCCTGTGAGCCAGGAGGGGCTCTGTGCACAGGGCAGGTGTCAGCCACATCCCCCTCCCTCAACTCCACCCAGGAATCCTGCCAACCTCACACAGGAGGGGACACTGCAGAAAGAATCCCTCTCCCCCCTCCAGAGAGAGCATTTCTGCCCCGTGTTTAAGGAACTGTGGGAAGAGCAAGGAGCGGGTGGCAGGCAGGGCTCAGCCACCGCCCACTCCAGGCTGGGCAGGACACACGTCCATCCAGAGGCCTCTTTATATGCCTGAGTGAGGGCACAGCAGTGCCTGTGATGATCCAAGACACCTGTCATCTCCTGATCCAAAATCTGCCAGGAATCCGATGACAGCTTATGACACACTAGACTAGTTCCATGGTTCAGATACAGCGCTGGCCAGAGCTGCACATTTCAGAAACAGCCCAAAAGATGTATTTATATATCTGTGTGCTGCATCTAATCAGCTGGGCCCCTCTGGGCTCTTCAAGCACAAGACAAAACAACAAGATTCAAGACAGGAACCTGCTCACTGCAGTGCTGCTTCCCGGGTGTGGGACACAAGGATGCTTTGGCATTTTCCATGTGAGGAGCTCAAAGCACAACTCAAATTATCCCCTCTCTTCCCTGTCCCCTGACACTTCTGACAGCCTGAGGACGTGGAATTAAGATGAGTTGTGTGAAGCTGTGCTGTGAACAGACCTCCCTCAGCTGATGGCAGCTCAGCCCACCGTGAGGGGTCCAGAATCCCACCCTGGTGCCACAGGAGCAGGACTCTGCTATGAATCCCATGGGAACAACCCAGAGCAAGAGCAAGGACAAGCAGAGATCCTCCTGAGAGCCAAGGGGAAGCATCCAGATGCCAACAAGGACTGGTACCAAATAGCTCCTGAGTGTCCAGGCTGGCTCCCAGGGCCAGGCCAGGTTTGCCTCAGCTGGGACACAGACACAAATCCCTCCCCCACGGTGCTGTGGAGCAGCATTACAGCACTCTCAGCACTTCTTCCACTCGGAAGCCTGTTCCTCCCCCCTCCCCAGCCTCTGCTCTTTGAGCAAAGCCAAGACAAACAGATCTTTGTGTGCACCTCGTGCATCAATGTCAGGTCAGCTCTGGGCACAGCTCTGTCTGTGGCTCTCTGGAGCCAGGATGAGCCTGGAGCACCAGGAGCTGGCTGGGAACCAGTCAGTCCATCACAAACCAGTGGCTCTGGGCTCTCCTCACCCCAGCCCTGGCAGTGACAGAGCTGTTGATTCACAGGCAGTGACTGCCAGAGCTGGGGCACTCAATGTAAGAGAAACAAACCCTCCAGAGCCACAGGTCCCCAGAGCCCCAGGCCTGCCCCTCCCTCCCTGCACACAGCTGGGAAGAGGCACCAGCAGCAGCTTCTGGCTCCAGGAAGGGCATTAAAAGCAGCACACCCAGACCATGGTTTCGCTTAGAACTGAACATTTCCTGCTATCACTTTTTTTTTTCCCCAGACCTAATGTTCTTTAAATGACATTTTGATGTTCAACAGTAACAGTGGCTAAAAATACTGGCGAGCAAGCCCCTTACCTCCAGCACAGGGTAATGCTCTGGTGATGGATTTGCAGGCATCGCTTCCAGAACACTTTGGCACTCCTGAGAAACGGCATCGATGGAGTCCAGCACCGGGTTCATGATGGCAGGGAACTGGAAAGGGGGAAGGAGGGATGTCAGGTGCCTGCTTGCTGCTCTTCCAAAACCACTGGGAGCAAACTGGTCCCAGTCCCTTTGAGCTGAGCAATTCCTCGCTCATTCCCAGAGCAGGGTGATGGTAACCTGCTCCTGGCTGCAGAAAAGGGAGGAAGAGAAGGAAACAGGCCAGAGGAAGGAAGTGCTCTTTTCATGGTCGCAAATTGGTGATTTTAACTCCTGTTAAACTGGAGGAAGGGAGGAGATGAGCTGAAAACCCATTCCCAAGCAGCTGGGAGATAGGAATACAGTGGCCACAGGAGAGATGTCCCAAAAGATCCTGTGGGACCTGCAGTCCAGGGTTATCTCTCAAAGGTTATCCCCCACTTCTCCATCCCACAACCACCTGCACCTTCAGGATCTTCTCCTTTACACCAGCCACCAGGACCTTGGTGCTCCGAGGGACTTTGGTGTTGGTCAGCAAGATCCTCAGTGTGGGCACCCTGGAAGCAACAGGAGACAGAGAATCCCAGAGTGCTTTGGATTGAAAGGGACCTTAAAAGCTCATCTCATTCCAACCCCCTGCCATGGGCAGGGAACATCTCCTGGCCTCTTTCCTTCACACTCCCCAAGGCTACAGCTTATTCTGCCTCAAAAGGCCTCCTTGAGCAGGAACATAAGATAAGGAGTCCCACTCATTTTACAAAACTTCAGCAGGTGTTTCAGTGCTGGCTGGGATCAGGCTTGTTCCTCCTGGATACAAGGAACAACTGTACTAGAGCTATAAATAGGACTCTAATGTATTTACTAAAATCCGTGTTTTTGAAGCAAATTTTTTCCTTTGAAATACTCTCTACAAGAGTAGCCAGCAGTGGCCATTAACTGCTAATAGAGCAATTTCATGCACTGTGAAAGATTTTAATGGAGTCAGATTATACTTCTCTGGCAGGAGGCAGAGGGAACACACAGGACCCAGATTTCTCTCTGCCAATGGGTTTTCCCACCACCAGGTAAGCACAAAGTTCCCCCTCCCCACAATGTCATTTGCTGCCAGGAGCAGATCCATTCCTGCTGCCCATAATGCCATGAAATTAATATTGATCCTTGCTGCTGTGTTCATCTAATGTCAGATAATGACCAAACGTTTTATTGTCCCCATCCACCCCAACAACTGAGGCTGCCCATACCCAAAATGGGGTTGCAGAGCCCTTCCCACACTCCAGCCATCTCCCATCATCCTCATACCCTCCAACATCCACCCAGAGCCTCTCTGACATGTTCCACCCACCGTGTGTGAGGGTTATTTTTAAACTCCAATATTACCTCTTTAACGGTGTGATTTTTCCTGCTTGGTATCTCAGGGCTCCACCTAAAGTAAAATACATGTTATTGTCTCAGCAGAGAGCGAGCTGAGAGATAACACAGAAGGTCTTTCATCTTCAGAACCTCACCCAGAGCCTGTGACAGTAATTGCAAGAAGCACCAGCTAAATGAACCATGTTCTCCAGCAGCACGGCCCTGCCTCACCCTGAGGCCTTAATGAGAGGGTCTGGCTGGACATGCTCAACCCAAGGCCTTTCCCTTTGCTCTCCTCCTCCTCCTCCAGGATCACATCAAATAATTTTTAAAAAGGCAAAGAGTTTGGCCAGCACGAAACCTTTCCTGAGAAAACAGAATCCAGCAGAGCCAAGCACACGGGATTCCATGGACTGAAGTGGTGTGCACTGGTGTCAGCAGCCTTCCTGCAGCATGGAATTTCATTGTCCAGAAGGAATGTCTCACTTGGCTCCTACCCTCACACAGGCACTGTGATTAGGTCTCATTAGAAAGATTATTAACAGTCTCCAAGGACACTTTCAAAACACTGGGAAGTCTCTGCTAATTGAAACTAAATGACAGCTGTCCAACTGCATTTTCCCCTGCATTATCCCTGGGACAGGATTAGGTTTCTTTGTTCACTGCAGAATGTTTAAATATCAGTTATTTGCAGCAAGGTCTCTGCCCTGTGGCACCTGCCTGGGGGGGACAGAGCTCTGGTGCTCCTGCAGCCCATTCCCAACATTCCAGCTGGCTCCAGGCCCAGCTCACAGATGGGGCAGACTGAGACAGGGGTAGGATTCCCTGTGCTCAGGCCAGAACAGGGAGCTGAATTTGGGAATTTCTGCCTGAGAAGCAGCAAACACACCTACCCCAGGTGCCAACAGCATTGTCCACACCCGATGGATTGCCATGGATCACCTGCTCCCCTCGGAAGGCCCAGCTGTTGATCAGTGTCAGCTCTTCTTCTGTCCACCTGGAAGGCAAGGAAATAACTCCAACCAAACAGCTCCAAACCAGTGGATAAGGAGGGATCAGGTTCAGGGGGAAGATCCCAGCTTTGGCCTGGTGTAGATCAGATTTAATGGAATTCAAGTCCAGACTCATCCCCACCTCACCAAACAGGGTGTGTTACCACACACACTGGAAAGGCTGAGGGAGCTGGGATTGCTCAGGAGAGGAGTAGCTTTGAGGACACCTCATTCCAGTGCCTGAAGGAGCTACAAGAAAGATGGACAGAGACTATTCACAAGGGCCTGGAATGACAGGACAAGGGGGGATGGCTTTAAGTTGACAGAGATTGACAGGTTTAGATTGGATACTAGGAAAAAATTCTTCCCTGTGAGGGTGGTGAGGCCTTGGTTGGGCAGGGACACCTTCTACTGTCCCAGGTTGCTCCAAGCCCCATCCAACCTGGCCTTGGACACTTCCAGGGATGGGGCAGCCACAGCTGCTCTGGACAGCCTGTGCCAGAGCCTCACCATCCTCACAGGGAGGAATTCCCAGTATCCCATTTAATCCTGCTCTCAGTCTGAGCACAAAAACACACCTCTGCTCCTCCCTGCACACCACAAGTCCATTCAACAGGTATTCCATGCTGGGGCAGAGGCACAAATTCACAATTTGGGAAAGCCTTGCAGCGTCTTGCAAGGCAATGCAGAAATTCCAAGAGCCACCTGCTATCCAGAAACTGCTCCCCTTCACTCCTGCTTCCCTGGGCCTTGGCTGAATGTCCTTATCCATGTCCACACACCTTGCATTCCACCTGCCAGGATTTAATCTGGGAGCACTCAGCAAACAGCTCACAGCAGCAGCCTCAGGAACAGAGTAAACCACTTGTTTTTAATCCTCTTTGAGAGGCTGCAATTCCTCCCGACACAGGAGCCTTTCTATCCCGCTGTTCTTTTCTTGCCATGGGAAGCAAAACCCTTCTGAAGTCTGACAACCCCAGCTCTCTGCACACCAGCTGCAAGGCAGGAATTATGCTGGATGCATGCTGAAGCCACGGAGGGTGAGCAGGGAATGAAGACATCCTTGCTGCAACACTTAGAGCTGCCTTTTTATTTCCCAGTTTGGGAGATTTGCTCAAGTGCTCCCAACAAGAACCTGTTTCTGGGTCAGGCTGCAAGTTCTGGCTCAGAAGCAGAACACAGAACCACCCTCCTTGCTGTCTCACTCTCAGCCCCACACAAAGTCCCACACAACAGAGGTTCTGCCCCTCCAGCTTTGATTTTAAGCAGCTTCACACAAAGCTCCCTCTCACAGGGGCACAGCACTCCAGGTTTCCAAAGGGGAGCTCCAAGGGCAGAAGGAAAGAAACTCTTTTTCATCAGGTACTGATAAAAGGGAAAGACAGGCAGGAGATCAGGAGGAAATGTAGCACATGCAGAAAAGAATTCATGGGAAATGCAAAAGAAACCCAGAAAGGATCCTCGAGGACTCAAAGCAAAACCTGGAAGATGCTCAGAGCCAGAGGAAACTGAGCTTGAAAATTTTCAGTGTGTTTTATTAGATTGAAAAAATAAGGGTTTTTCGCCCCTTTTTAGGCATGGTTATCTGACCCTAAACAAGGGAAACAGGGGGAGTTTTACAAAGTCTGGGACAGGGCTGGGAACACTGGGCATGGACAGGAGATGGGCTCAGGGTGTCACTTGTGGTGACAGCCAAGAGAGACCAGCAGAGGTGGCAGTGCCAGAATTCGAGCAGGCAAAAGGAAAGGTGGGGCACAGAGCTGTGCATGCCAGGCTGGAATTCCTTACCTGGCTGTGGATTCTCCCTCCTGCAGTGGGCAGGAGATGGCTCCACACAGCATGAGCAGGGCTGCAGCCAGGCACACAGCATAGGCAGCACTGGATCCCAGCCCTGCTCCCGTGGGCAGCTCCGACCACACCACGATATCCACGCTGGGAACATCCCTGGGGAGACAGACACACACACAGGGACTGGCACCAGCACCCTGAATTCCACCTCCACACACAGGGACTGGCACCAGCACCCTGAATTCCACCTCCATACAACACAAAAAAGGCAAAGAAGCCAGTTAGGAGGGATCACAGGGAAAGGTGGGTGAGGATTTGCAAATCAGCACATGCATCTGACACATTGGGGCTACAGGAGGGCTCATTCCTGAATGGGGCAGCCTGGCCAAGCCCTTGTGATGGAATAAAGCCCTCCTGAGCTGGATCCATGATTGGCACAGCTTGTCAGGCTGCTAGGAGGGCCTCTTGGTAACTAAATACATGAGCAGCACCATAAAGAGCCCTTTCAGAGGCTGTTATAAACATATTTCTGAATAAAGTGTAAACATCCCAAATCTGTAACTGCACAGCCACATCCCACTGGAGCAAGAGGCTGGTGGGGAAGATGGAACATGGACATATCCACATCCCTTTGCTCCACTGAACACACCTGGGTTGTGTTACTGACTCCAAAATCAAGCCCAGGAGCTTTTCAGGGCTGCTGAGTGACAGTCCCAGTGCCACCCTGAGACTGCAGAGAAACCACAACCCAGCTGCACACCACAGTTCTTTATCCTTGGATTTCTTGGATGAGAAGATGGAAGTTGGGCTCTGCTTTGGTTTCTGACACTGCCCTGAGCACCCATCCAGTCACACAGAGATGGTGTTGGGCAAGGTTGGGAACTGGAACAGCCCCAAATTTTCAGAATTTTAGGCAGATTCAGCCCATAAAGAGATCAGACTTAGTTCAGACAACAAATTCACAGTTTATTTCTGCTTTTCCAGCCTAAGCCAGGATGACAGGAGCTGCCTGCTGTGGGGAGGGGTGTGTGTGTTGTGTCTGTGGCATGAACTGCTCTGGTTTCAGCCCTTAACACTAAGTGAGAGCAGAGGCTCCCAGCTCACCTTCCTGAAGCACCCACCCACCACCAAAATTTTGGGGCAGGAGCAGAGCCTTACCCATACTTAGCAGAAATAGCCAGGCACATATACAGGAAGGCAAGAGTAGCAAGACTTTCTGGAGCTGTGGCCCCGGCAGCAATTCCAGCAAACTCCCTCAGTGCATCCAGCTGTTCTGCACTGGGGGACTTGGACTCATCACCATCAGCTATGGAAGCAAGCAGGGGAGAGTTTAAACACTTAAAAAACCAGGGAATTACTACACTGAGAGCAGTATTTACAACAAAACCTTCTGTTACAGCAGGCAGAAACAGCTGGGGCCCATTTCAGGTTCTACCTGAGGATCTGTGATGAAATAAAAGCAAAATCTCCACCAGGCACTCTGAAATCCCAAGGTTTCCACACTCCGTATTTCCAAATGTTTCCCTTCCTACACCTGCCATTGCATCCATCCATAATCACTATGGAAAACATGGCAAGTCACAAACTCTTCATTAAAGGATGTGGATATCTTGGGGATATCCTGGGGCTCCAGCCAGTGAAAGGTGCTGCAGAAATTCCTGTGGGGGCTGGTGTGGGACAGACAGGCAGGAAAACAGACCCAGGCTGGCTCGAGGCACAACAGAACCGGAACAAGTCCCTGGAACCCAAACCAGGAGGGGACAGGGCCACACACGGACACCTGAGCATCAGCGGGGCCACAAGAGGAATGTAAATAACTGTGAGGGGCAGGGACAGGTCAGTGAGCAGGGTCAGAGACAGAGAGGCCTCGAAACACTGCCTGGGGGACAAATAACCCCACGGGGGTTCCTGCAGAGTCACCCCACGGCGGGGGGGGGAGGGTCCCAGCACGGTCACCGGGGTGTGGCAGGCACCGGACGGTACCGAGAGCCCCTCAGTGCCCCAGGGCAGCTCCTCCTTTCTTTCCCCGGGCCTTGCCTGCGATCCGCTCCCGCAGGGCCCGGAGGTCGGGGGTGTCCCAGCTCCTCCGGACACCGACGCCGGGCAGGGAGACGCTCAGCCGGCCCTCAGCGCCAGGCCTCAGGCGGAGAAACGTCCGCAGGTCCAGCGCCACGGCCAGGGCTACCTGCGGGCGGAGAGCGGGGGTCAGGGGGGCCAGGCAGCCCCGGTTACCGAGCTGGGCAGCCCTTTCCGGGCCGGGCTTCCCTCGTTTCCCCGCCGTGCCCTCACCTTGCCCAGCACCACGGCGTGCTCCCCGTGCAGGATCACCTTCCCCGGCGCCGACACTGCCAGCTCCCGCGCCCACATCGCCGCACGGCAGCTCACGGCCCGCGCCGACTGACAGCCCCACTCACCAATCGGGGGCCGCACCCTGCCCCGCCTCCCTGCGCTTAGCCAATAGCTGTGTGTCGTGCGAGGGCGGGACTTTGCGGATGGCCAATGGGAAGGGGGCGTTGCGGGGTGGTGCGGCGCTGGGGTGACAGCGTGGGCTGAGGGCGGGACGGTGGCCGCGCGGGGTCACGGCACGGCGGCGACGGCGGCCGGCAGGGATGTGGCGGCGGGCGGCGGTGGTGGCGGAACGGGGCCTGCGGGGGATGGCGGGGCGGCGGTGGCGGAGCGGGGCGGGCAGGTGAGCGTGGGAGGGCCGGGACCCCCTCACGGTGTCGTTCCGTCCCTCTCGGTGTCCCCCCCGCTCCACAGTGTCCCCTCACGGTTTGTGCCTCCACAGCCCCGAGCGCGCCGCTGGCCAGCGGGCCCCGAGGATCTACACGAGGACGGGAGACTCAGGTAGAGCCCGGGGGGCCCCGGGGGCCGCGGGCAGAGCTCCCCAGCCGGGCCCTGAGCGCCTCCCGCCCTTCCCAAAGGATTCTCCAGCACCTTCACCGGCGAGCGGCGGCCCAAGGGCGACCGGATCTTCGAGGCCCTCGGAGCCACGGATGAGCTGAGCTCGGCCATCGGGTAAGGACCGGCTGGGAGTATCCGAATCACGTGGAAAAAAGTATGTTTGTTATGATTTCTTCATTCCCAGCTAACTGTGTTTTGCTTTTTTCTCTCTACTCAAGGCTGGCTGGTGAGTTTAGCAGTGAAAAGGGTTACACGTTTGTTGATCAGCTTCATAAAGTGAGTATTAATGATAATCATCATTCCAGTGCTATTAAAACATGAACTCCTTCATTTTAGCCGCAGTGCTCTCACTGACACACAGGAATTCAATACATTTTGTATTTTAATATACAAATCTTTAAGACTCCCTTGATTGCTCTCTAAGAGGCAAATTTCTTTAACCAAGAAGGAAGCTGGTAGATCAAATTATTAGTTATGGGCAGACAGATTAATCTCTAGGTTTATTCTAAGTCAGATCCACATTATGAACACGAGTTTTGTTGTAACAGAGCTCCAGCTTTGAAACTGGGACACAAACAACCACAAGGGCACAGCAGTGACACAGGTCCTGCCTGGGCAGCCTGTGAGTTTGGCTGATCAGCTCTGCTGAGCACAGCAATGCAAAAAGCCATGGCTGGGAGTGACAGCAGTTGTGGTTTTTGTCCAGGTGCAGTGCATGCTGCAGGATGTGGGCTCCAACATTGCCACACCACTCTCCTCAGCCAGGGAGGCTCACCGCAGTAAGTCCTGCCTTTCCTGGGGTGGCACAGCCTGTTGTGGGTGGTGGGATGCTGAGTATTTGGTTTCTTAGGACTTGCTGACACAAGGAAGCAAGATGAGAGCTCAGCTTGTTGTCTGAATCACTGTTTTCCATCCGGCTCTTCTCTCCCCTCTATAGAGCGAACATCGTTCAGCGAGAAGCCCATCCTGGAGCTGGAGCAGTGGATTGACAGCTACTCAGAGCAGCTGCCTCCCCTCAGAGCATTCATCCTGCCTGTAGGTGCTGCCTGTGCCCCTCACCTCCTTGGGGTAGCCCTGCTGCTCTGCTTACCATGGGAAAACAGCCTGGGACGCTGCTATTCCCATGGGCAAACGCCAAGAGAAAAGCAGAGCCAAGGAGCTGGGAGTTACATCTGCCTGTAGGTGCTGCCTGTGCCCCTCACCTCCTTGGGGTAGCCCTGCTGCTCTGCTTACCATGGGAAAACAGCCTGGGACGCTGCTATTCCCATGGGCAAACGCCAAGAGAAAAGCAGAGCCAAGGAGCTGGGAGTTACATCTGCCCACCCTGCTGCACTGGGCTGTCCCTGCCTTGCCTGGCCCTGGCACAGGGCTCAGTTCCCTGTGTGTGGGAGGGCAGGGGGAGCTGTCCCTGCTGGTGCAGACCCTGAGTGGTGTTTCCTTGCTGTTCCAGTCTGGAGGCAGGAGCAGTGCTGCTCTCCACTTCTCCCGAGCCGTGTGCCGCAGGGCTGAGAGGTGGTGAGTGCTGTGCTGGGATCACCCTGAGGAAAGGGGATGGGGATGCTCCAGTGACAGCAAACCAGGGCTGGGCTGGGCCTGGGGCTCAAGCCAAGCTTTTGTGTGTTTAGCCCAGTTCCAGGAGTGCAGGAGGCACAAAGCCAGGCTCTGTTCTTCCTTCCCCAGCCTAAACCTTGGGGATTCTGCAGCCCCGTCCAGCCTGACCTTGGATGCTTCCAGGGATGGGACAGCCAGAGCTTCTCTGGGCAGCCTGTGCCAGGGCCTCACCACCCTCACAGGGAGGAATTTTTCCCAGTATCCTCCCATCTAACCCTGCCTCTGCCAGTGGGAAGCCATTCCCTGTGTCCTGTCACTCCAGGCCCTTGTAAATAGTCTCTGTCCAGTGATTTCCATGGATGAGTATCCTGGGAGGAGCAGAGCAGGGAGCTTCCAGGACAAACACAAGCATTTCTGGCATCATTTACCCCTCCCAGATCCCCCTGGGAAGCAAAGATCCTTCACTTCTGCAGGAGTCAAAGTGGGGACTCCATGGGGAGGTTTGGGGTGGGAAGGGGCTCCAGCCTTTGTGCACTCAGAGCTGGAAAATTAAACACCAGCATTTCCCTTTGCTTTTTCCAGTGTGGTCCCTTTAGTCCAAGCAGGGGAAGCAGATCCAAATGTGGCCAAGTATTTAAACAGGTAAAAAAATAAAATCCCAAACCATTGCCCTGTCCTACTGAAGCATTCCCTTATTCTGGGAATAAAACTGGGGGGTTTGCTTCTCAACAACCTTCTCTTCTGGAATAAGATCACTGGTTTTCCTGCTTTTCCCCTGTTTTCCAGGCTCAGTGATTATCTCTTTGTCCTGGCACGTTATGCTGCAATGAAGGAAGGGAAGGAAGAGAAAATCTACATAAAACCTGAGCCCTAGCTGGGAGCTGGAATGTTTTTTTCCTTGATCATGGGAAACTAAATCCAGTTGACTGCTTTTGTCCATCAAGGAAGGGAGAGAGAACAAGCCTGGACTGGAAATGGGAGCTGCCAAGGATTTCCATGTGAAATAACCAGGACCTTGTTGATAAATCCTGAGAGGAACAGAATCACAGAATATCCTGAGTTGGAAAGGACCCAAACACACCTGTCCTATTCCCTGGGCCTGGCCCACACATCCCATGTGGAGATGGCTCTGGAGCCACTGCTTCTCCTAGCTGGGAGTAGAGGCAGGAGAATTCCATAACATTTTGGAGATGCCTTCATTTCCCTGGGCAGCAGCAGGTGCTGTGGGAAGGCTCTGAGGGGACTCTGAGGGATGATGAAGGGAAAACAATCAGGAAAACAATCAGCTCCTCCTTTGAAGTCACAGTGCTCGTATGGAGCAGCAGCTGGAGGCCTTTGGGAATTTGTGTCCACAGCTCTGAAATAATAAATGTGAATTTCCTTGTACCAAAGGGCCACAAACTGTCACGTTTTAACACCGAGCCCTGTGAGCTTTGCTGCTCCAAGTCCCTTCCAATCCATCAGCTCTGGCTGGAGCTGGGCTGTACAGATTTACAGGAATGCACCAAGAATTCCTTGGCTCTGGCTGCCTCTCTTTGTGCATGTGAGGAATTCTCTGTGCTGACAATCCAGGGCTTCCTCTGCCAGGCACAGGGGTGAAGCAGGAAAGGCCAAACCCCAGGGTCTGTGTGCTGGGGGTGTCTCCATGTGGAGCTGTCCCTTGGAATGGTGGGACCAGCTGCCCCTCCAGCTGGGGGAGCAGAGCCCAGGGTCTGGGAGCACCCAGGGCACTGAGGGTGCAGGAAAAGGGGCTGGGGTGAGGAGCAGGGCCCTGCTGGAGCTGGGTGAGAGGGGCAGCACCCCGAGGGCTCCTCCCAGGGGGTCTGTGCTGAGCCTGGAATGTTTCTGCATGGAGCCCTCAGCAGAGCAGGCTGGAGAGAGCTCACACCCACATCACACACAATTCCAGCTTTGCACTCATTTTCCAGCTTGGAAATACAACTGGGAAGACCCCATGTGAAGCCTGCTGGTGTAATTTTCCCCCTGGGAATGCTGGGGGCTGCAAGGTGGTGATGCCCATCCAAGGGCTTGTCCTGCTTTTAGTGGGGCAGCTTTTAAATCCATCCTGCCCCTTTTCCCATTCCATTATTTGAGTAGAACCAACCTTAAACTTGTTCTCCAAGGAATCTCTGGCTCTGTGTCCCTTTTTGGGCAGTGAGGAATGCCCAGGAATGAGTGAGGAGTGCCCGGCACTAACAGATCCCCCGTCTCATCACTCACCTGGGTTTGAGGCAGATATTTCATGGCTCTTGTTAATGCACATTTTTCATGGAGTAATTTTCCAAGCCTCAGCCTGGAACACATCCCAGTGACAAATGCTCTGGATTTGGATGGTCCCATCAGCTGCAGTGTCACCTCAGCCATTCCCTCTGCCTGCTCCAGCCAGTTTTACGAGAGCTCTGGCTCTGGGACTGAACCTCAGGAATCAAGAGGCTTTTCAAGTTTAATTTAATAAAATCCTCTGCAATATAAATTCTTCATGAATGCTCCATAAATCAGCTTGGGGAGGGATTTATAGTATTTCCTTTTTTATTTTTTTTTTCCCAGCTGGGGGGAAGAAATCTCACTACTGTTTTGGGACCAAAGCTGGCATTTGTTTGGATTGCAAGGAGAAATAAATCAAGCTGCTACACTTAACATGATAGAGAGATTAAATTTACTGGGGTGCTCCCAGCTGCCCCCTCCCTCTCTACCCACAGCAGTTGTTTCTGGAGGGCTGAGGCAGAGGGAGGTGCTGGGGTGACCTTTGGTGTGTCACTAAGCAGGGCTTGACTTAAAGAGGGAGTTGAGACAAGGCTGGGACATTCTGCCCTGAGAGTTGTACCCAAGGTCACAGGACAGCCATGGGCTCTTGAGCTGGGGAAAAGGAGGCTCAGGGGGGACCTTGTGGCTCTGCACAGCTCCTGGCAGGAGGGGACAGCCGGGTGTGTCAGGCTCTGCTCCCAGGGAACAGGGACAGGAGAGAGGAAACTGCATCAAACTGTGCCAGGGGAGGGTCAGGCTGGACACCAGGAGGAATTTCCTCATGGAAAGGGTGCTCAGGGACTGGAAGGGGCTGCCCAGGGAGGTTTGGAGTCCCCATCCCCAGAGGTGTCCAAGGAATTCCTGAGCGTGGCACTCAGTGCTCTGGGCTGGTGACAAGGTGGGGATCAGGCACAGGTTGGACTCGATCTTGGAGGCTTTTCCAACCAGGATGAGCCTGGAATTCTGTGATTCCCCGGGCTCTGGTGTACCCTCCTCACCAGGCTGGAGCAGAGGCACAGGGCAGCTGAGCTGCCCCTGCTGCTGACCCCACAAGGTCAGCCAGGCAGCAGCAGCAGCAGAGTGACCAAAACAAAACCCAGCCTCTCAATCCAACTAACCTCCCTTGCTCTGGGCTGGCAGTTGTTTTTCCAAGCTCTTTGTCTCTTCCCAGCCCTCCCAGCCATACAGCATAGGGATTCCAGTGCCTGCACCTCATTAATATCACGGGGGAAGGCAGATGCTTTGTCCAGGCTGCCCAGCTCCAGCGCCCAGCAACATTCCTGCCTCGCAGGGTGCCTGATCTGGGACTGCTCTGGAGCTGCCAGCACAGCCATATGTTGCTAAGGGTCGTTTATTCTTGTTTGTAAAATGTATGGCTGCTCCCAGCTTCCACACTGTCAAAACGAGAAGAACTGGCCCCAAAATCTCTTGCTGCATGATTGGATCAGACGCCCGTACATCTGTTAACGCTGTAGGAGCTGTAAAATGGAATAAGTTGGGCTATAACTCAAGCACCTCGATTACCACCACGATGTGGGAGCAGCAGAACGGCTGCTGCTCCGCCAGCAACGACACAAACATCCATTGTGCCAAGTCAGATGTAAATTTACACAAGGCAGCATTTCCTGGGCCAGGGCTCAGAAGGGAGGAGAGGGATGAGAGCCCCCACCTTGTCAGGGTGTGCTGGAGCCCCAGCACGGTGAGTTTTGGGGTGCACAGCCCTGGCAGTGCGGAGCCAACAGCTCCACTGGAGCTGCAGGAGCAGAGAGAACCACAGGGCAAGTCCTGTGGGCTCACAAGCTCCTGAAACCCCCTTTTAGCCTGGAAATGGGCACAGAAAAACCCTCCCCATCCCAGAGCAGCCCAGGGCAGGAACCATCAGCTCTGTGCCTGACAGGAGCAGGCTGAGCCTGTCTGTGGACCCTCAGCTCCCCCTGTGCTGCAGCCTGGCCCAAAGTGCCCACCCCAATGCCCACCTCACCCCAGTGCCCCATCCCTGCCTTGGCAGGGCAGGCACAGAAAGGCAGAGCAGCACAGGGAGGGCTCAAACCACCCCAGGGAAACTGGAGAGGGTCAGGCTTGAAGAATTTGACCTCAGAAACAGCCACAAAAGCAGCTTGTGAGCACCAGTTCAGTGCCACTTACCCAGGTGGTGACAGTGCCAAGTGCCACATGGTGTGACCAGTCCAGCACCTGCTGCAGGAGCTGCTGCACCTCTTGGTAAATGGGAGCAAACACAAAAATGAGCTGCAGAGACATCAGGGATGTGGAGACCAGAGCACAGCACAGCTTCCTCTTCATCCTAACCTGGAATCCAGCATGGGGCACAGGTGCAGAACAGAGGGATCAAACAGAGGGAACACCAGCCTGGGTGTGAGCCAGGGGTTTGGGACAGCCTGTAGGAGCAGGAGAGGGGCAGCAGGAGCTGCTGTTTGCTCCTGAACACTCCATGCCTGCAGCAGGTTGGGACACCCAGCTCTGCTCTGTGCCAGCACTGAGCGAGCACCAGGCTCCAGGGATCTCTCCCATCCTCCAGGGATATCTCCCAACCTCCAGGGATCTCTCCCATCCTTCAGGGATCCCTCCCATCCTTCAGGTACCCTTCCCAGCTCCTCACCCCACAGTTCCCAGTTTTATGGGGTAGCCACGGCCACATCTCCCCTCGGTGGCCCCGAGCGATGCGTGCCCAGGTCCCGGCCGATGCCAGGGAAGCTGGGGCTGTGCAGGCCTGGCTGCTGCCAGCTCTGCCTTGGCAGCAGCTGCTCTGGGCTTGCTTTTTGCTGTTCCTGACAGTGCCAGATGCCTCTGTGTCAAAACAATGGCACTTGCACACTGACTGGGAGCCTCTCCCTTGCTCCCACCGTGCTCCCGCTCCCAGCAGAGCCAGAGAGGGCTGGGAATGGCCAAGGGGGCAGGAGGGCTCCAGGCAGGGATGGAGGGGCACTGAAGGGCTCCAAACCCAAAGTCAGAGGGAGCTGGAGCAGCAGGCACAGCTCTCACTCCTCCAAGGAGCTTCCAGTGTCAGGCTCAGGCAGAAACACACAATATTATGATATTGTTATTAATATCAAAGCCTGTGTCAGCTCCAGTGGCTGCTCCTCGGGGCTGCCCCCACTCCTGCACTGGGGGATCCCACTTGGATTTCCAGCCTGTTTCCCTCTCCCCCAGTGGTTCCAGTCACCATTCCCAGATGTGCACTGAGCATTGCTGATTGCAGCACTGCCCCTGCACCCGAGGAGCACCAACACCCTCAGGAAGAACTAAAGTGCCAGCACTGTGCAGGACCAGGCAGAACTTCTGCAAGCATATTCCAACATGAGAAAATCCTGCTTCAAACAGTGCTGCCAGGTCCCTTTGGGCTCAGCAGGCCTTGTATCCCCCCACCTGGAGCACCCCACAGCTCTCAGGGGCACCAGGAACCAGCCTGGCAACAGGAATTGCCATGGGAGCAGCAGGCTCCATGCCCAGACTGACAGACTCACAGAATCCCAGACTGGTTTTGGTTGGAAGGAAACTCAAAGCTCATCCCAATCCACCCCCTGCCATGGGCAGGGACACCTCCCACTAGCCCAGGCTGCTCCAAACCCTGTCCAGCCTGACTTTGGACACTTCCAGGGATGCTCTGGGCACCCTGTGGCAGGGCTTCCTCACCCTTGGAATAAAGGCAGGTGCCCTCTGAGAGGTGCCAGGGCCCCAGTGCCCTGCTCTGCTTTGCCAGGAGTATCCCCCCAGCACATTCCCTGCCCTAGGAAAGGACCAGGAGACACCCAAACACCTGAACTCATCCCAGCTTTATTTTCTCTGCAGCTCAGACACACAGGGATGGAACCAAGGTCTCCACAACAGCAACTCTTGGATAGAAAAGATCCTTGTGAATCTCCTGTGGCAAAACCATCCCTGGGCAGAATCCATGGAGCAGGCAGGGACTGACACAGCCTCCCTGGGACACAGCAATCAGCCCCTCCACAGGAATCCTTGCCTGCATCCACTGGGAATTCCCCAGACATTTATCACATTTTCCACACCAGCTCCAGCACGGGAGCAGTGTCTGTAGTGCAACATCTCCAGGTTTGGAGGGACCAAGCTTAGTCTAAAGTAAGATTTTTCCTAGGAATTGTACTCCTGAGGAACAAAGGGAAAAGGGGAG